ATTTATGAAGGGGAAGGTGAGAGCCCCGAGGCGAGAAACCCCTGCCGAGATCCCAAAACCACGGTTTCGCTGGAGCGGTGGATAGAGTTCGGGCAAATACACAAACAGCATCATGAACCCCGCGGTTTGAACCAGGATGATTATGTTGCCAAAGACATTCAGCAGGATATCATTCTCCGGCTGGAGGATGAGCGTATGCAGTGCTGCGACCGACTGGAGGGTGGCTGCCGTGAGGATCAGTCCCAGGAGGGGTTTCTTGCGGAAGCGAAACAGTCTGTAGAGAGTGGCGGAGAGGAAGCAACCTGGCAAATTGGCCAAAGCATTAATGGCTACGACGAGAGAAACGTGGAAACGGATGTGTGTTGAGTAGAAGATTATGCCGTAGAAGCTGATGGTATGACAGGTGAGAAGAACAATTGCGAGGAATGTTGTCCAGACCAAATCCCAATGCAAGAACCTGCAGCAAGGAGAACGGTGTCGTTTGGTCGCATGTGTAGCCAATTCTGAATCGCCCAGTGGCACACCATTTCCAATTTCGTCCTTCTCCTCATTCTCCTCCTCCTCGGTCTCAGATATCGTCAGCAGGCACGGCGGACCGATCAATGCCATAAATTCCAGTTCGCTCATATAAGTCCGTCTATTTGCCTTTTTGGAGAAGAGGTTCGCAAAACGCAGGTTTGTCCGGTATCCGGCGTACAGTGACCTGCCGGTAGCCTCTGTTCTTCCACGGGCTGCCAACCACTTGGGCGATTCTGGTTGCACAAAATAAATAATGAACACACCGCTGTTGAGAATGAACATACACCCAGTGAGAACACGCCACCTGTCCACGAAGTAGCCCAGTATGGCTATCAGCAAACGTTGTACAGTCAGCTGTACGACAAAACCAATGGCAAAGAGGATTGATCGATACTTAGCTGTTGTGAATTCGGCTGCGATGACTGTGGTCACAGCTATACGTGCACTTAAACAAGCCCCGATGAGACAACGGGCGGAAGCGTAGAACATGTGGTGTGGACTGAGGCAGGCAAGGACGCAGAGAACAAGTTCTGCTAGGCCGGTCGTCAGGATGGCAATCCTGCGCCCTAGGCGATCACTCAGCCAGCCACCCATGACGAAGCCAAGACACATGCCGACCATGTAGGCACTCTCGTTGAATGGTGCCTCCCAGGCTTGGCTGCAGACAAGGTTCCACTCCTCCACCACACCCCCAGGGTACTGATGCGGGCTGTAGTCGTAGACAAAACC